TTTTTTTTTTAATTTTATTTATTTTTCCCCCCAAAGCCCCAGTAGATAGTTGTATGTCATAGTGCACATCCTTCTAGTTGCTGTACGTGGGATGCGGCCTCAGCATGGCCAGAGAAGCGGTGCGTCGGTGCACGCCCAGGATCCGAACCCGGGCTGCCAGCAGCGGAGCGCGTGCACTTAACCAGTAAGCCATGGGGCCGGCCCTGAGTATGGCCTCTTATTCTGCAGAAAGGTTTGAGGACCAAATTTCAGATGTGGTGGGGTTACTCAACCCTCATCTCTAGTGAGTCCCATATATACAACTGCTTTACTTTGTTTTAAAGATTTTATTTATTCATTTTTTTCCCCCCACAGCCCCAGTAGATAGTTGTATGTCATAGGTTCACATCCTTCTAGTTGCTGTACGTGGGACTCGGCCTCGGGTTGGTCGGAGAAGTGGTGCCTTGGGGCGTGCCCGGGATCCGAACCCGGGCCGCCAGCATCAGAGCGCGCGCACTTAACCGCTAAGCCACGGAGCCGGCCCAACTTTGTTTTAAAAGTAGCTTTTATTGCAGGCTAGCCTTTCACCATTGAGAAATTAGGGTTCAGGTCTCAATCCAAGCAAAGCTGAGGTCAGTTGTATCATCTCCATCCTCAGGGGCCTGGTATCCTGGGAAACCCAGGTTGAGAACAGGGTGAGTCCAGGACACACATGTTAGCAGAGACAGTGCAGCATGATGAGGCGGGCATCCAACACCCTAAGCGTGCTTTAGTTACCAGAATATTTGACACACCCACAAATTAAGTAGCAAAACATTTTAATCCATTAATTCTAAAAATAACAGACATTTTATATCCGGTGCCACCTCCTCAAAAGTCTACTGCAGATTAGACAGTCAGACTGCAAAGTACAAAGCCAGACATTCAAGTTAAAGATGCAGTTTGGGACAAGACCAATGGCGAGATTTTCCTCCCCTTGGATCATAAACATAAGCTGTCAGCTTAAAAACCCCTCAGAAGAAAAGAGAAAGGTTTCTCATGCTCTGTAACCTTTCTCTTTATTTTAAATCTGTCTGTAATGTTTGAAGGCAAAACAGATGACCAGAAAACCAACCTCCCAAGTACAAGGATCTGAGCTGGACTCCAGGGACTAAAGACTGGTTTAATTCTATTTCTACCAACACTGTGATGTGAGGTACTATGGTTCTTGTTTTAGTTACAAGAGGTGTTAGGAATGAATGCCCACTCACATTTAATAATAGCTTATCTAGCACATAACTACAGCACAATACCAACAACAGGAGTGTTTAAAGCAGGGTAGAGAAGAAGGCAGACATTAACACAACTTTAGGTTTCCTTTGTCCTTCCCCTCTTCTTACAATGAGAATTCAGCTCAAAAACGAAACTCTCCAGAACGCCCGTGCTGTCCTTTGGCCCACTGCATTCCAAATTTGTGATTTCTGATCCCAAGCCCTTACAGCCTCAGGCTTTAGTGATGTATCCTTCTCGGATGAGGAAATCATAGATTTTCCGGGTTTTGTTCACGTCTATCTTGATGAGTGCTCTTGCCTGTGCCAGTCTCAAGCCTCCTTGCTTGTTACATTCGTTCAACAGAGCAGATTTATATTCTAAATAGGCTCCTGGGACCAACCTCACCATCTGACAAAGCTGCAAGACATGGCAAAGTTAATAAACATTAACATCTGTCATTCTCATAATTTAATCCAGCAGGTATAGCCAAAATAAAATTTAAAAAATGACATCAACCTCCAACTATTTATAAGAGCTGTTAGGTGGCTGGACCACATTCCATTTAGTCTCCTCTTTGGAGAGAATACTCCCTAATGACAGACACTCAGGAAGAGAAAGCCAGGGTATGATGCTGGGAGAGCCTTCAGCAGGTGTTCGCTGGCTCGCCTGGCTTTGTCAGGGAATACAAGGATGTGTCCTGAGGAGCAGCCTGGGTTGAGGCCCAGCACATTCCAACACAGCCAGTCAGGGAAGAGCCACAGGACACAGTTGGGGCGGGGGTGAAAATACTGGGATTCCCAAGTGTGAATCACGTTATTTTTAGTAACGGCATAGAGTAGTAGTCTCTGCTTTTGTGATACATTTCCCACTTTGGAAGGGGAGGAGATATAGAGACCTAGCTAAGAGGCCACTTTAGCTGTCTAGAAAGCTGGCTCAATTCCAGTCCACTTGCCATTATCCAGCAATGAGCAGTCTGAGGTCACCATTTTGTGGGGAAGAACAAAAACTGCTTGAAACTCGGGCCATTCAATACTCGAATCAGAAGGGCCTGTGACCTTCTTCAGCAATACTTAGATATAATATATACTTCCTTCTACTCTCAAACTCATTTTTACTGTTCCTGGTGGATAAAATGAAAGACTAATACTAGCTCCTACTCCATGACTCTTCCTTACTGTCTGACCTGAGTTAATGACATGGAGTGGCAGATGGGGACAGATCTTGGGAACTGTAAAAGGAGCAAATGAGAAATAAAAGAGGAATTCCCCTTTGGAATGGACTTCAGAGCTATGGCACATTCTTTTGAAAATGCTTGAAGATGACTCTTGAGGCTGGATTTAAATTTCAGAAACAGCCAAAAGTAATATTAAGACACGTCTGATGATTATAATGGAAAAGAAAAATAGGTCATGGCATTTTTTTAACCAACATAAATGTGTGACTATATACGATGACAAAGTCCTTTCTTTATGCTTATAAACATGCTATGGAAACAATTCCAAAAATCTTTTAAGTGATGGTTATATTGTTGGAATAAGTGTAGAAATTCTCAAAGTGACCATTCTAATGGGAAATAACCATTTTCATATACAAGTTATTTTAGGTTTATAAAAAATTAATTTCATTTATATAAAGCACTTAGTACAGTATCTGATACGTGGCAAATACTCAATAAATGATAGTTGCTATTATTCAGATTTACATATCACATGTTATTCTCTCAGGAGATGAATGGTGGCAGGGTGATAAGGAAAAGAGCTCTTCGAAACCTGCTGAGGTTCACTCTTCAGCTCTTAGACTTCTAGGACAGACTAAAGCTGGATGTGTATGTTACATGAGCAGAACAAAACGGGCTTGATCCTGTAATGTGTTTCTTCTGACAACCCAGTGAATAATCAGCCCCTACTCTCTTTGCTCTAGCTCCCTTTCTTTTTGTTACCTCCTTTTCTTTTTCATTCAGCTTCTCTGTGCCAGGGAGGCCAGTGAGGTTCAAGGGTGGTGCACTTCGTCTACCTATAAGCACAGACAGAAAAGGGCATAAATTTCATGAGAGTGACAATTCCTCAGGTGTAAACTATAACAGAGTTCACCACGGCCAGGCCAGTTAGGTATAAGATCACTATATCCAGCTGTAGGAACTCTCTACCTATCACCTCAAGCCTCAGTTTAGCTAGCAACATGGGCACCTCAACGTTCACTTGAAAATAAAAAAGGTAATTCATGTGCTCTTTGCTCTGCTAAAATACACATACAATCACATATATCTTAGCATCAAATATGACTACTTACCACAGCAGTTATCACCCATTTCTTCCTAACCCAGTAGGAGATTCTAAAATCTAAAGCCCAGATGTCATCCAGTTAAGAAAGGACATACACTGCTGGCGTTGACAGCTGATGAGTGGAAATAACAACTCTGCAGGAGAAACATTTCCTAACCCTTGCCACTCTGCCAGGAGTACAAGGCAAACATGGTAATTAACCAAGTACCATTTGCCTTCAGATCAAAGGCAGACTGTTAGGCCAGCAAAAGGCCCTTCTTATTTATTATGTGAGGGACTATCTGTTCCTTCCAAAGTAGCCCTGTTTACCTGAAAGATCCGCACAGAGGAACAATGAACCATTATATGGCAAAGTAAAGGCTGAGGTGAACTCACATACCTGAGACAGAAACCCAAGTATGAGGTCACTGCCCAGGATGGAAAGCTTGATGTGCAAAACTTTTTGGTTTTGTTTTGAACGTATATTTGAGATTAGTGTTCAGCTGGGCTGAGTTAAGCAAAAGAAAATGTAGAATAATATATTAACAAGTTTTATTATGGGAGGTTGCCTTTTAGGTGGTGGAGAGAAAGGGGAGGGACTGCTATAGGCTGCTCTGCTAGAAAACAGGCTTATCTGTAATATCAACAAAGGAGATAAAGGCTTCTCCATAACCAACAGGCCTAGCCTTACCCTAAATGCTTCAAAAAGAGAGACTAAAATCATTTAGTGCCTCACCAAAGTTACCAGAGTCTAAGTTACAATCAATGATCCAGGCTCCCAACTGTGCATTGCCTTAGGAGCAACTCAGAGCATGAAGGCGAGCAAGGGGTCTCCTCAACCTAAACATAGGGAGTGAGGAAGGCTAACACTAGGAAGCAACAAAGAATAAGGGAGTGCAGATGGTTCAGAAAACACAGATACCAAAGTTGCACGGTCATCTTTTTTTTTTTTTTTGTGAGGAAGATCAGCCCTGAGCTAACATCCATGCTAATCCTCCTCTTTTTGCTGAGGAAGACCGGCTCTGAGCTAACATCTATTGCCAATCCTCCTTTTCCGCCCCCCCGCCCCCCAAGCCCCAGTAGATACTTGTATGTCATAGTTGCAACATGCACGGTCATCTTAGTTTATTCATTTTAGTTAGCCGATATTATGTTATTTCTATTTCTGTACTTAGATTGGGGGGGTTGAAGTAAGAAACGTCTAAGATAAAATTTAGATTTAATTGTCTTGGCTACTCCCTAAAGGACTCTCTTTTCTCCTTTAAATATTAAGAAATAATTACTTGAAACACAAGAATAAATGAAAAAAAAGTATCATCCCTAAAGCAGCCTTCTCTGAAGCCTGTCTAGATCCTGAATCTACTGAGAGATTTTCAATGGAATCACAAAGTCTGTTGTTCCAAGCTTCCAAAGAATGGTAAAACTGCAAGTGGGTCATCTTTTGGACTAGTCTGTCTCTAATCAGTGGGGTGGTCTGTATGTTCTGATTAGGGGAAGTGGCTAACCTACCATATGGAGCAAGGGTGACTAACACCACCCCAAAGTGGCTAATCTACCATATAGAGCAGGGTATAACTAATACTACCCCAAACTACCAGTCATTGACTACCAAAGATTTTATTTTATTTTATTTTTTCCCCCCAAAGCCCCAGTAGATAGTTGTATGTCATAGCTGCACATCCTTCTAGTTGCTGTATGTGGGACTCGGCCTCAGGATGGACGGAGAAGTGGTGCCTCGATGCGCACCCGGGATCCGAACCCGGGCCACCGGCATCACAGCGCACGCACTTAACCACCAAGCCACAGGGCCGGCCCAATTGACTACCAAGCACCAAGGATTACCAGATAGTATATGGCTTAATCTTGCTCTGTAAACTAACCTCAAAATAGGACATACCCAAAGAGGTAAAGATAAGAAATAGAAATATCTTAAAAGTCTCCAACTTACAAAGAAATTCCTGCGTTTCTGGCAAGTAACATGCCTCTTTGCTCATATAGGATACAAAGCCTTTAATTTATCCCCTGCAAGACATATCTCTAAATTTATGGTAGATACAACCATAGTAAACTGTGCATGAACATTGGTAAAATAAAGAAAACACCTCTCTGGACTTCTTTCTTCCCCTCTCTCTGTACTCTTAACCTGAGGATAGTCCCTGTCTGGCCATGAAGATTCTGAAAACTTGCTGACATTTATAAATTGGGATAATACTTAATTACCTTTACTCTGCCTAAATTCCCTGCTCACACAAAGGGGGAAGGGATTGCTGGGTCACCACAATCCCTAGAATGAAAACTTCACAATCAAGACTTGCTTCAGCCTGAAAAATAATTACCTGAATTTGAAGCCATTGGAACGGAAGGACTCAGGCCGGAATCACTACAACAAAGAAGAATTTAAACTTATGTCACGCCAAAGAAGGCAATTTCCAAAATCCTGTATGGGACTGGGTGCCATTTATCAGGTCGGTTACTTTGAAGAGATGTAATGAGATAGACTGTACTATGTTTTACAGGATATCCCACTGTACTAACCAGGAAAGGAAATTTGTTCTGGGGGAGAGGGGAAATTGCTTGGATTTGTTAAGAAGAGCTCTCAGCCTAGAACATTACCGAGACCATTCACAGTGAAAGGATAGGAACATGATTCTCCAGTGGAAATCATACCAATAGATATGGAGGGAAAGAGAAGGCATGGGTGGAAGGAATTTACTAATTTTTAAAAATAAGATCAAAGTAGCAAAGTGGGATTCTAGGAGGCCAGTTATATTTCTCAAAACTGTCAGCATCAACAGTTTCTGAGACAGACTGCTAAAATTTTATGAATTCTTCTAGCTACCCAATTACTATTACTCCACCATCCAGGGTAGGGTGCCCATGGAAATCTCTGACAATACACATAAAGGCCAAAGCATCCAAGGGGATGTTCCTTCACCCTGGACTAACTACTCACATGTCAGCTTGCCGGCGGAGCCACTGCTGGCAAGCACTACTGTCCTGGATATACTGGAGAACTTCGGAGAGCATCGTGCGTTTAAGGCGCTCCTCCTCTCGAGTCTTCTTGAGGTGATCATAGGTTCTGGCACCTGGAGGTGTAAAAAAACACCATGACTACAACGACAACGCAGCAGAACTAACTGAAGGGCTACCTAATTGACCAGCAAACAGCTTGTCTTTTTTTGGTTTTCTTTGCAAAACTGCTTCCACAATTATTTTTCCAAGAGCAAAGTAGATTTCCCCTAGTGTGAAATCCCTTTTTTGATAGGAAATAAAAATATTTTTATTCCTTTTCTACCTTTAAGAAATTTGAGGGCAAAAAACACCCTCAAACAGAAAAGTACAAAGAAAGTAAGAGTCACTCATTTTTTCACCCCCCAAAAGTAACTAACTTTTAATACTATCATATATTTGTCACATATATATCTATATATTTTTTAAAGTCACACAAGTGCTATGAGCATACAACCTTCCTTAAAAACCAATTAGAATTACAAATAAAAATACATCCTCATTGATCAGTACTATCCCTTTCTCCTCCTGCCCAGAGGCAACCAATATCAGGTAACCAAAACCTGGTATCAGAGTCTTTATATGCATCTTACTAAACAAAAGTTGCATGGTGTTTTCTACATGTTAACAAGGTATACAGATTTCAAAATACCACACCAGTGGGTTTCAAACTATGTTCCACTGAGCCCCAGAATACCAAGGAGATATCTCAGGGGTTACTGTGAAGAGCAAGGGCACCACTACATACTGGTAGTCCTGGATTCTACACATAACCCAAACCATCAGACTTAGACCAAAGTCATTCCACTTTTATCTTATTTATAGATTAGGGCTTCACATAAAACTTCATTTTGAAAATGGTTTCCATTGTTAAAAATAAAGAACCACTATACTAGGCTGAACTTACACCCACAGGGCTACTTCTTGTGGGTAGTGGGTAATAGCCTGCAATCAACAGGAAGGAGAGAATACTAAAGATCATTCCAACAATAACAACAAAACAACAGAAACTGCCATTTATTGAGGATTTACTGTGTGCGAGGTACGGTGCTATGTTTTCATGCGTTATCTCTAACTTAATCTTCATACTAACTCTAAGAGACTTGGAAAATTGAAACTTGAACAGAATACAGATCTGATAAACAGGAGAGCCAGAATCCAAATCTAAGCTGTCCAAGTCTGGACTTCAAGCACCTAACTACTATAACACACTGCCTTCCCTTATGACCCGGCTCTACTACAACTACCTCTTCAATCGCTTTATGCCTTAGTTTCTTTTTTTTTTTTTTTTTTTTTTATTTATTTTTCCCCCCAAAGCCCCAGTAGATAGTTGTATGTCACAGCTGCACATCCTTCTAGTTGCTGTATGTGGGACGCGGCCTCAGCATGGCCAGAGAAGCAGTGCGTCGGTGCGCGCCCGGGATCCGAACCCGGGCCGCCAGCAGCGGAGCTCGTGCACTTAACCGCTAAGCCACGGGGCCGGCCCCGATGCCTTAGTTTCTGCATTAAATGGAAATAACAATACCTATCTCATATGTCTGCTACGAGAATTAAATGACACGATCCAGGTGAAAAGCTTACCATAGGGCCTAGTGCACAGTAAACTGCTGCTATCAGATGTTGGGCGCTCTTAGGTAATTATGATCACTACCTCAAGTCACTGGGATGCAAACACCTAGAGCCAGTTGAAGCTTGGTTAATAAGAATGATCAGACCATCTTCATTAAATTTAAAAAGGCTGAGGCTAAAAACTGGAATTTACAAAATTCCGTGTTTTTTTTAGAGGCCACAGAATCCTAAGTCTACAGCAGCACCTCTCTTTTTTGTGTGTCATAACTTTTATTTTACTTCAGATAATCCATATAATGGTATTTATAAGGATTAAATAGATGAAACTTTACTGGAAAAAATCAAAAACTCGTTCTGAAAAAGGAAAGCTTGTTTAAAAAAAATCCACACCACCTCAGAGACTTCTATATGTTTAGAAGACACCTGCCATCTGATGTAGTGTGTAGCTTAAGCATACTTACTACAAAAATTCGTAATGCCTGCTGTCCTGTATTCCTGGAGCCTTTTGATTTCCCTTCGGAGTTCAAATTCCACTGTTCACCCAAAAAAAACAAAAGAGAAAAATTGGAAAAACAAAATATCAATGAGCACTTTTGCTGTTGAGTATTTCCAGTAATTCTGCCTTATATAAAAGACTGGGCATTTCCATTTGGGGAATCCTATTTGTTGGTAATGTCTCATTAGAAATTTTCCCCAAGAGCTGAGAAAAACCTACTTCAGCTGTCTTCCGGCTGCTGTCTCCAGATGGAGAAAGTGGCTGGAACAGTCTCCTAGAAAACTTCAGAGTAAGCTGGCTGAATTCATTTAGCTACAGAAGTAATGAATATAATCTTCTAAACAACCAAGTTTCTTTGCTCTATTTATCCTCTTAAAAGTTCTATCCACATAACCAAATTCTTTTCTGAAACCTGTCTCTGGTATTACTCGATGTGGCCCTTTTGCAAGGAAAGGACAAAAGCTCTGTGCTCAAGTCCCAGAGAATTTCTTTATAGCTTTTCTCCTATAGAACAAAAGAGCATTGTGTTTCCATAAACCAAAGATTTCTGCCTCCTCTGAGCACACAGATCAGGTTGCACTGCTTGGGTTATTACGTGACAGAACATCCAAATTTGGGTGCTTTAAAATAGAGATGAAGGAGGAGCCTGGACAATCCACAGGGTGTAGTTCTTTGGAGTGACATATAAACCGGGAATGGCACAAACTGGGACAGGAAGTAAAGGACCAGTCACCCAGTACAAACCACACAAAGAATGCCAAGCAAATAGGGTGCTTGGTGAGGACAACCCACCTGACTCAGATAAATGCCTACAACGCCATGCAAGAAATATTTGCATAATGAGAACAGGATAAGAGCCTTGGTAAAGTACCTTCCCAGAACTAAACTAGGGGGTTAAATACACTAATCTCATGATGAAAGGATAGACCAAGTCATCCAGTCCAGATTGTTTTAAAGTCTAGTCCTTACTGCCTTAATAACATCAATTTTTTCTAGTGAAAAAAATCAAATGGTAACTGGGTAGAGCTCTCTCAGAGAGAAAGGCAAGAAAATGATGGAAGTGCTATCTCCATGAGTCATTGAACTCGGTCCCCATTTTAAAAACCAGTTTTAATACTAAAATATTTATGACCAAAATAATATGATGTCTGGGATTTGCTTCGAAATAATCCAGTTGAGGGTGGGAAGGGAGTGGGTGGTAAAGATGAAACTGGACTGGCCATGTGCTGATAATTGCTGGCTGGGTGCTGGATACATGAGGGCTCATTATACTATTATCTCTACTTTTGTACATATTTGAAAACTCCCATAATAAAAAGATAAACTTCTGTTTATCTGCAGGGGAAAAAAAGCCAATAGGCTTTTTAACCTCTTTTCTCCCAACCCAAAGTCCCAAATTTATCTCATGGTAATAAAGGGGAAGACAGACAAAAATATCCATTTATTTGTTTACAGAACATCACAGAAAACACACCATTATCTCTCCTATTTCTATACACACACACACATACACACAAATACTTGCTTAACACTCAAAAACCACCTACGTGCATGGCTTTCAATGAACTTGTCATGCTCCACTGGCCCCACAATCCTTGCAAATCGCCTCATTGTTTCATAAAGGTCTTGGACCTCCTTCGGATACCGCCGCTCCATTACTACAGAGAAAGTGAAACACAACCATGTCACAGAGAATATAAGGGATCTCTAAGTCGTCTGCATTTCTTTTATAAGAAGTGAAATGGAAGGACATTATTCCTAACCTCATGTGACTAAGTTACCTATGACAGAAAGCAAACAGGAAAGCTAAGAATGCAAAACACTAATAATGATAACAGCATCACAGAGACTATCACATAGGGATGTTGTTATCACTGGAGACCACCTGCACTACTGAGCACCGGCGTGACTGCCACACCTTACTGTCTCTTAATCTGTTCCGGGGCAGGAACTGTTGGCAGTAACGGGAAAGACAATTAAAGGCAGATCATGCATTCTTAGGAACAATGTTGGGCAAAATTTCTAGTATTAACTTTGCAGGAAACAAAAGAAGTGCAGACACAATGATCCATCTGGAAGAGGAAGATTAGCCTGGAAAAAGTATATGATCTTTTGCATGCTCTACCAAAAATCTTCTATCAACACATCCTCGGTATTTGTACCTCGTGATTATACATCACGGGGTGTAATGCCTCGTGAGGCATTTATTTCTCCACTCTCTACATGGGTCATTTTGCCTTTCTCTAAACTAAAGTAGGGCCAGCCCCGTGGCTTAGTGGTTAAGTGCTCGCACTCTGCTACTGGCGGCCTGGGTTCGGATGCCAGGCACGCACCGACGCACCGCTTCTCCGGCCATGCTGAGGCTGCGTCTCACATGCAGCAACTAGAAGGATGTGCAGCTATGACATACAACTATCTACTGGGGCTTTGGGGGGAAGAAAAAAAAAAAAGGAGGAGGATTGGCAATAGATGTTAGCTCAGAGCTGGTCTTCCTCAGCAAGAGGAGGAGGATCAGCACGGATATTAGCTCAGGGCTGATCTTCCTCACAAAAAAAATAACTAAATAAAATAAAATAAAGTAAGCACCATAACTTAACTTACTACTAATGAAGTTATATTTTGATAACTACCAGGCAACTCAGGTCACATATGCAGGGTAGCCAGGGTCAGCAACTTTGAGGATCACTACTGACCAAATTTGTAATAACAAGAGGTATTGGCAAGGAAGATGGGGAGTAAAACCTACCAACAATAACTGGTAGGTTGGAGTGGCCAGGAACTCTCCAACTGCTACAGGGTCATTTCAATCAGATAATGAATAGTAACTAGGCTAGTTCTGTCCACTCTTGGACTAAAGATATAGGCTTTCACTTAGGATGGATATATACATCCATTTATTTTTTTTTGCTGAGGAAGATTCATCCTGAGCTACTATCTATCTGTAGCAAATCCTCCTCTTTTTGCTTGAGGAAGATTCGCCCTAAACTAACATTTGTTGCAAATCTTCCTCTATTTTGTATGTGGGCCACTGCCACAGCATGGCCACTGACCAGTGGTGTAGGTCCGTGCTGCAGAGCATGCTGAACTTAACCACTAGGCCACCGGGGCTGGCCCAGGACAATTATTTAAATTAAGTCCTCTTTTCAGATGAATCTCTTCCCTTGCAGGAGACAGTCTTGTCCACAAATTCCAGGAGCTGATCTGATGGGCAGCCACAGATTGATAATTTTTACTACAACTCTCGCCCCACCTCACTACAGGGATAATACAAAAGAATTTGGAGTAAAATTTTTAATTTGATGTAAAAAACCCCTCTGCCTACCATATTAAGGTCACATGTCCATTCAGTATAATGGCAATTTAAAACCTCTGAAAACACGTTGTACATGCCACTTCTTTCTCAGAAGCAACAGAGCTTCCCCTTAGCTCTACATCTAAGAAATACAGTTAAAAGAATAAGGAGGCTAAAGTGACCTCTGTCCACCAGCTGAGAATGGAATTTACATAAAAGTCAAGGTCTACTATGAGTAAAGGTTAAAACCCAACTGACCTATTACAGAAAGCCCAGGAATTCAGACAGAGGAACCCACTACTGTGGCTACCAGAACACGACCGATTATTGTCTGTAGAAAGGGCAAGGGAAATCTGATCCTGAGTTAATTTTGCAAACCCACAGCTCTCGATGGAACAGTGTTAAACAGGCAATTCTGTACACTACTGGAAGGAATATAAATTGATATAACCATCTTTTGTAAAGCAATGTGGCAGCATGTATCAAGCATTTTTATGATCATATTCTTTGACCTATTAATTCCACTTCTGGGAATCTACCTTAAAAAAAATTCTAAATATAGACAAAGCTTTATACACAAACAAACCCTGTGCCCTAGTGGCTAAGTTTGGCACGCTCTGCTTCGGTGACCAGAGTTTGGTTCCCAGGCGTGGACCTACACCACTCATCAAGCCATGCTGTGACAGTGACCCACATACAAAATAGAGGAAGATTGGCACAGATGTTAGCTCAGGGTGAATCTTCCTCAAAAAAAAAAAAAAAAAATGCAGATGCTCTAGCTCTACCGCCAGAGATTCTGACATTATGCAACTTGAGTTAACAACTACTGTCATAAATGTTTTGTTTAAAATTATTCAATAATGTGGAAGAAATTTTGAAAATAAAGCAGCTAATACTTACACTGAAACTTTCTAAGGTTGATTAATCCATGGTCTCTTATAATTCTAGAATAAAACCCACAATAATGCATTATAATTAGTTTCATATTTAATAATGTCTTCCACATCCAGTATTTAGTAGACATCCTAAACACTATAAGGTATAATATTGAGGTCCACTTGCCACAAAGTTCTGCAGGTCAGCGAGTTACTAACACAATTTTAGGCTCTCAAGCATCATATATTTTTCCTCTCCTTGGGCACAGTAGACTCTCAATAACTATTTGCCAGATGAATGAATGAATCAATGAGCACTCACAAACACCAAAAAACACACGTCTACATGTAACTTGAGATGAAACAGAAGGGAATCGGTGTCATGTCATAAATATTAATATATTCAGCTAAGGAAATGATAATGGAGAATAGCCACTTACGGGAAATCTGTTAACCATAAAAGGGCACTATGATCACACATTCAACATTAACAGCTATACATTCACATAATGTTTTGAAGCTATTTGAAATAAATATTGTGCATGTTTAATGGAAGGGCATCATAGCAACCTCAACAAGTGAGTTCTACAATACTCTCTAGCTCTAATTGTGTGTGTTAAGCAAAACAGAAGCTAAGTAACCACGCAGAGTTGTGTGTCTGGAACCTCTGATTTATACCAGAAGTATTCATGACTAGCAATGAAGCTTCTCACAAGAGCAGCTGGGTAATCTTCTTCGGCACTTCTTCGAAACTTACTCCAGACACGCAGAGTAAGATCTACTTTAGATCACGTCTTGGTCCCTCAAGAGAGTCTCCCAAGTCCCATTCCTTTTTATTGTTGTGATACCACTGCGTTTCTAGTTAGTAACACTGTGGTACATGCCTACACATACATATACATACTCACACCCTCTGCATACCCTTCTCTGAACTGTTAAAGTCTCTGTAATCCAATAGGGGTCTGGGATCCATAATTTCTTAGTCTGAATGTATGTTTTTTGTTCTGTTGCAAAGAGAGGGAATAACCAAGAGTGCCTGAAACTTGTTCAGAATTTCTTTGAAATCTTTTCAGATAAAAGACTTCTCATAAAAAATGAGCAGTTAGAATGAGAGCATTAAAAAAAGCATAACAACTTAATACCTTGAATTTACCTTGTTCCTTTTTTCCTTAAAACAGTGTACCCACATTATTCATTGGTCATCATAAAATCAAGAAAGGGTAAGGAAGGAAGAGGTAAAAAAACAAAAAAAGGACAGGCATTATTACCCCCACTGACAGATGGAAAAACTGAGACCCAAGGAGGATAACTGCCTTCTTCAAGGTCACAAGATAAGCCACAAGTAGAATGTTCTTATGGGCTATATGTAGTCAATAGTCCAAAGATGAAAGAGGCAGGATGGTTTTCCATACTTACTTTTTTCGCCTTTGTCTCTCCTTTAACCTGGAATGATAGATATCCACTACGGCCATCTTCAAAGCTATAAATAAATAAATAAAAACATGCATATAAATAAAGCCATGACAAAAATAAATCTTTTACCCAAACTGTCCTAACTATGAATCTCATATTGCTAACTATTTCACACTCACTGGTCTAGTAAATTTGTCTCTTGGAAACAAAAATATCCTAGGATACTGAATTTCTTTACCACTAAATTATAGTGAAGTTCTTTTTTCCTATGCATGTACTTACACAGCATTACCCTATAGATAATAATTTCTGCTTTCTACTGTACACCTCTTTTGGCCATGCCTTGTTAGTATGCTACTAGCTTTCATATAACAGTTCAACATGGGCTTTGGTAACACATGGGCTAGAAATTATATCTATTAGATTAGTCATAAAATCGAATATTGACTGAGGTTATAACTGCACAGCAGTAAGCTGAGGAGATGACGTCAAGACAAGACTGACGTGAATAAGGCACAGCATAGACATTTTCCCAGAGTAGCAGTTTTCAGCTGGGGAGAAGCAACTATTTAGGTGGTAGTTTTGCATTCAGCAGTGAAAAGTTCCATTAACTAGCCTAATAATCCAAAAGCTGTGCCCTGCCTGGCAGCCCATGTCCCAATCCTTTCCTGGCTTTAGTCTCACGTTAAAACATGAGGAATTAGGAGAAAAGAGTTACTGGATAGCAAAAGTTTTCTGATGAAAATACAATAGTTCTAGTTCTCTTTCTTTCCCTGGCCAATTGTTCCATCTTAAGAGTACCTCAGGGTTCTGTTCTTAGTTTTTTTTCACCCCTCACCTTATTTCTATAAACTCATCCACTCCTATGGTTCCAAGTACCATCAAAATATATCAACTCAAACTCAGATATTTATTTTAAAAGCTCCAGACCCTATTTGGATATCTCTACTCACATGGTCTTTAATTACAAATTTGTATTCTCTTTCCCATGCTCCAAAACTCTTCTCTTGGTCAACAGCATCACACTACACCTAGCTGTCTAAGACAGAAATCAACTAGGACCTTCCCTCCCCCTCTCTACCTAGTCAGTCAGTGAGTCTTACTTATACTTAATGCTAAATCTCTCTCAAATTCATCTCTTCCTCTTTGTCCCTAATCCTATTCCTTAGCTCAGGCATCTTGTCTTACCTAGATCACTACATCCACTCTTTTAATGACTCCATTCCTGCCTTACTTCAATTTTCCCCTTCAAATGAAACCACAGTAATGTTTTTAAGCACAATCTGATGGTGTAATTCCCCTACGTATAATTTTTCAGTGGCTTCCCATCCACTTACAGGAATTCAAACTCCTACATATTATATAAGACCCCTTTCTGTCTTGATTCTGCCTATCTTTCCAGTCTCGTTTCCTACCATTCCCTCATATGCCCTATACACCATGCACTCAAAACAACCTGCCCTAGACCACACTAAGTATCTGTGCTCTGCTAAGTACAGAGCACAGATCCAAACCTAGGCAGTCTGGTTCCAGAGCCTTGAGTAGGAAAGACATTGAAATTGCCCAAGATGTTTACTTTCTCTGTGTTAGTCCTATATCCTAAATCTGGCTTAACTAAAAATGAAATGTATATTAAAAAAAAAACTCAGAAGTAAAAAAGTCTCACAGGCTTTGTATAGTCTGAAGACCTCTAGGGTTAAGAAACGAAGACCAATCATTAACAACTCTAGAAAAAAATACGAGGAATGCATAACTTAGCCCTATGCTACATTAAACCATTCTTCTCATCTATAATCTATGGATTCTGAAGGAATCTTAAGATTTAATGATTTCAGTAGATTCTGGAACTATCTTAATAACTTGTTATCTCCTTAAGCTTTATGTCAGTTGAGAGTTTGGTAGGTTTTGTCTTATTTTAATTACTGAATGTATTCATAGATGAAAGAAGCTCTAGAGCACAACATAATGACTTGACACGTGTCCTTTGAAAAACTAAAATACATTATTCAACTGTCAGGTAATACAATTTCTAATAACATACCAGCCTTTGCAGCAAAGAATTTAGTTGTATTTGACAATCACTTCTTCCAGGATAGTAAGTTTCATTCCAAAATACAGCCTAGAGCCTCTGTAATACTGATAAACAAAAACAGCAATACAATCTCATTGCTCATCCAAAGAATGTGAGATACAACTTCAAGGTTAGCTCATGGGTGCAATGAGAAAGCACAGATTTATATGTTCTACTAGAATAACTTTTAAACCTTGTTTTCAAGTAAATTCTTATTTGGAACAGATAAGTTAGATCTGCTCTAGCTGAACCTCTTCTCTCTACCCTAGCTGCAGCTATCTTTCCCAGCAGTAGTCCCTGTGGGTACCTCCAAGGAACAGTTTGAAACCCACACTTGTATAGCAACTAAATTTTAGGGTAGGAAAAAAATGGAATTAATCAAGTATAAGAACAGAACACAATGGCTCATCAGATCACCAATTTCTTTCACTATATGAAAGCAAACAAAAGTTGAGCAATGTACAATCCTGATGCATTGTCAATATGGTAGCCCTGGCAAGATAATAGGAATAAATTCTGGATACTCCATCCTGACTCATTATCTTGCATCGCACTGCTACCTGCCCTCAGGATAGACTCAGATTAGAAGGCAGAAATACCAACATCTAACATGCTGGGCTATGAGCAGACGTACTATTTATGTATGTAACTTCAATCACTGGGAAATGACCAGGAATACTTTATTCGGGCCATCTTCCCTTGGGTCTGAGATAAAAATAACATAAGTTCTAGCTGAATGATCTGAAGAGGTGAGTGAATGCAATGTTTTTTAAAGTTTAAGTATATAGAAAAAGTAACTACCATGGATTTTTTTTTGTTTCTAACAAGTATAAAAACTTAAACAATACTGCTTCATTTTTCCTCATAACCACCCATAAACTAAAAATAATTCAATAACATCAGGTCCAAGATTCAAGGCAACGGTTCTCAAACTTTTTTCTTCGGTAGCAGAACTCTTTCTATAAATGAACTCTTTCTTGATTTTTAGCGTTGTTCCATATAAAAGCCCAGGTACCACAGAATGGCCCATACCTTGCCACTGTTTTCTAACACAACTGCTGTGGAACGACAGGCTCTAGAATGCTACACTGGCGGAGATGCACTTTACATGCCAGCGTGGTAGAAGAGGCAGGTAGGAACAGGGAGGAGAGGCTGTGTCTCTGACATGCAGTACAACCAAATACAAGTTTTACAGTGAACTGGAACACTATTTCTTATGACAAAGAGAATTAGAAGTCAATAGTTCAAGGCAGAAAGAGAAGCAAATAAAATAGCTAATTAAATAGCTAACATACACTGAGTATTTATCATGTTCCAGGCTCTTTACGTGCCTTATCTCATACATCCACCCAATAACAAGAGGCGTTCAATAGGAAAGAGACTGCCTAGAGATCCAGTGGAAATTACTGTTAATTTTGACAGACTATTTCTGTAATTTTTCTAAAACGCTAACTTACCATGTTGTTTCCTGAGATTGTATGGGAATGACAAAACAGAAAAGAATTGAAGAGACTGTGTTACAAAAAAATCTATAAATAAAGACCACTGATAACTGGCTCTATTGCTTGATCATTTCAGTAGTTTAAACTTGTACAACTGGCTCTGGAGAACAAAGAGAAGGAAAGGAACACATAGAAAAAAATGAGAGGCGAACTGGAATTCTCCCAGAGAAAAATTCACATTTGAATCTCTCTCTCTTCTTTATAAAGCACACTCAGGTAGCAGCAACCGATTATAAGACCTTAAATGCATGAATAACCCAGGGAGAACCACAGCACAGCAGGCAGAATAGAAATGAGAAGACAGACACTGAAAGAATGAGAATCATCGGTTCACATCCTACTTAAAGTGACCGGAGGTTCTAGTAAAGCGGGCAAACAAAGAACCAGAAATCATTAAAAACAAACAAACGAAAACCACTTATAACCTATTCACTGATGCAAGGCCTCTGAAATCTCAGCTTTGGAGGAAGAATAGTCTCCCTGTGATTACACTGCGGACTGATAAAGTTTCCAAACGGCTGGCCTTAAAATATTTCAAGAAGTGGGCAGAAGTCAGAGGCAGCTCCTTCCCACTGCAATGTATTTCTAACGTTGTTCAAAATAGCTGGCAACATGTTTCTGTTTTCCTGACAGAAGGCACTTACTGCTTGCTTGGCAAGAAAACCAACTCAGAGGCCTCAAATGCAGGGAAGCCAATCAAAATCCCAATTGCAACCACACAAACACAAACCTGTGACTCAGGTATTCCCCAGAAGCAAAGCTTTTTAAATCATTTTCCCCCTAAATTTTTGGTTAAGATGTACACAATTAGTGTACATCTAAGGAAAGAAGGAAAGAAGGAAAAGAAGGAAAGAAGGAAAGAAGACTATGTGACCTAATGGTTAAAGTCAGCAACAAGGAAGCCTTAGGCAAGTTACTTAACTCCTCTGGGCATTTCCCTGAACGTAAAATGGGAAAATATCATTTCTACTTCTCAAGAATGTGGTTAAGCTACAGAAGATGACCAATGTGAAATCTCTCTGTCTCTGTCTCTCTCTCTCTCTCTCTCTCTCACACACACACACACACACACGCACACACACACACACAAACAGCAACAAAAATTCAAGGTTGTTAAGACAGTTAAGTATAGTACAGTATTAAGAGCACAGGCTCTGGAGATGGCTCTGCCACACGCAGGTTACAGACCTCGGGCAAGTTAGTTGATATTTCTACTCCTTGACTTCCTCATCTATAAAATGGAGATAATAATAATAATGCCCAACTCATAGAGTTTTGTGAGGATTAAATGAGTTCACATGTGTGAAGCACTCAGAATGGTACCTGGCAAACAGTACGTGCTATATGTGTTAGCTATTATGATTAACAGCATTTATGTCTACAATGTCCTAAGCATAAAACAGTCAAATCACTATAAAGGGAAGGGCACTGCCAACAGGTAGGCAAGTGTGCACAGTGACCAGGCTGGACCTCTGATCTACTAACTGTTAAAGGATCTAAAGACTGACAATATGCGCCAAAGAAATAAAAATTAAAAAAAAAAAAAAAAAATTTTAAAAGGTGGGGGAGTGTCCAGGCCTGGCCAAGAAATTTTGCTGAAATTAGCTTTCCAAATAAAACGACAATAAACTGTTCTAATGTGCAACCCTGAAAAGCATTGCAAACACAGACCCAACACATAGGAAGAAGCTCACAATGCCTCTTACTTGCCTGGGTTACGGGACAGCAACAATAAGAAGATGCTGCACCCAGCGTTTTACAACCTATGAAACTCTGGGAAAGAGGAGTCCACAAATTTAGGAGAGATATTCCCAAATAAAAGCAGATGGGAAGTGATGTCCCTCAGGAAAAGGGAACTACACTACGCGTCTGCAATGAGATCCCATAACATACCATGACACAGGAGAGTGCCAAGTTATAAGTCTTCTGAATCTCTCATTCTGAACCAATAATTTCTGCTTATTTCAATAACATATGAGGAGGTGTCATTTAGGGATCCTAGAACTTTATTTTCTTCCTAAGACACTGCTTCACTTGCACTATTCTTTTTGGGCCCATTCTGAAAGCCTTCTGGTATGGTTAGAATGCAATTAATTACCCCTCCATTGTGTCCTAGGCTTCTATAATGACCACTCAAACCCATTTTATCAGACAAATTCTGTGAATCATAGCACAAGTCTTTGGGTGAGGAAAAGGGCTTGGTGGCATCAGCCGATCTTCTAGATGCCCTAGGGTGGAATACAGAACCCAGCCAAACAGTTTCCTTCCTTCCAGGAGTTGTCAGTGAGGAAACATAAAAGGAATGTTATTAATGCTCAGTAATATTAAGAGTATGATGGTATAATGGAATGGTAATAACACCAATCTGAATTATGTACCATCTTTCATTGGAGACATTCACATTCTCTGACTAATCAGCGTTACCCCTTCTTTACAGCACGGGACACAAAGGAATAGGCAAGCAAGATTCCTAGGACTTGCCCAAGATCACACAGTGACTCACAAGCAGTGAATCAGTGGCCTGATTTGCATAAAATATGTGCCCCTCTCTCTCTGTTCTAGGTGTGCTTAGGAAGCTCTTTCTCCTTCCTTCCTGAGTCTCCTGGGGCTCCTAAACCCCTTCAATGAGTGTTCTGGGAGAAACTGCTCAGCTCAGGGGCAATACGCCCCAGTGGACAGTAGGTCATGCTGCCAGAGCAGCTAACATGAGAACTCAGAGCCATAAACAAAACATCCCTTTGAGGCACCAGCAAATCATCCCTTTGATCTCTAGCACTGCCAAACCTCTTTAAAACATTATCACCTTTTAAAAAGCACCCATCTAAACATCTTATAGTTGACTACTAGACAGGAGGGAAGGGGGAGGCAGGGATTATTATTTACATTCTGTTAAAGCTACTTATGTGTAACAATCAGTAACTGATGCTTCAGTTCTAGTTCAAATAAACTAGAATCAAGTGACATATGGGCCAGCCCCGTGGCTTAGCAGTTAAGTGTGCGCGCTCCGCTGCTGGCGGCCCGGGTTCGGATCCTGGGCGCCCACCAACGCACCGCTTCTCCGGCCATGCTGAGGCCGCGTCCCACATACAGCAACTAGAAGGATGTGCAGCTATGACATACAACTATCTACTGGGGCTTTGGGGAAAAAATAAATAAATAAAATTATAAGTGACATATAAAGTTGTAGAAACCGTAGGAAGAGCACAAATAACTAAAGTATGCTATAGGTTTGAAATGCTAACTGAAACAAAAATTGCTAATCAATCGCTTCTTCCTGATTTTTTCCTTTTGCCACCACTTAAAGAAAGCACCACAAGTGCACCAGAAGAAATCGCAAATCCTGCATCCACAAAGAATGAAGAGTGAAATTAAATACCAACCATTACTACAGTTCTCTTAATAATGTTGAGATGGCCTTAAGAATGAAGGCCTTGGGTTAAGGCCTAGAGAAATGCTTCAGCAAGTCCCTTACATAGTTGGGCCATTACTGACATTAGAGACTCTTTCAAAAGTTCGGTACTTTTGAACAGTATCTAAAAGGATGGTATTTGTGAAGCTGCTTTTTTTGCATTCTGGATAAGAAAGACACAAGCCAGGAAACAAGACCATTTTAATTAAAGCTGGTGTGTATGAGGAGAAATACTGAATGGCCATCTGCACACTACCTTCAAGGGAACAACAGAGAGGTGAGAAAAGATGATAACGTGAGTTAACTGAGGTTGAAAAGAAGAGACTGACACGGAAGACTGAACAAATACAATGGATCTAGTCAATGCTAAAGTAGTTTGCTTTCAAGCTTTCCTCTTTTAGTTCAATCTGCGTCACTTGGACTTTCCTTAAAGCTGTGTGGGAGAAAAGAAAAGGAATGAAATTTTGCAAAGAAAAAGGCTCAAGATATATGTAGAGAAAAAATTCTGAAGGTAAAATTTTTTTGACTCTTTCTTGGTCCCAGATCAGATGTAACAAATACCTAGATAGCTCTTCTATAGAGAGAAGAATCAAATTCCCCTTCTAGTGATAAAGTACCAGTTAATGCAACATGAAAACTTGATTTATAATTCAATAAGGATTCTACTTGCCTTTCCTGCCTGGGATATAGATTTGAGAGAAACAATGAAGATGCTCTTTGGGGAATACAGAATCCAAGGAAGCTTTATTCATCTACTGCATCATATTCAACTATGGACTGAAATTAAAGAAGACTGGGGGTTATTTTAAATATGTGCTTCACTGCAAATAGAAAGAGGGAAAAAAAGAGATTCAATGAAAGTCGAACTATCCACTTTTTTTTTTTTAAAGATTTTATTTGTTTATTGTTTCCCCCCAAAGCCCAAGTAGATAGCTGAATGTCACAGCTGCACATCCCTCCAGCCACTGCATGTGGGATGCGGCCCCAGCATGGCGGGAGAAGCGGTGCGTCGGTGCACGCCCGGGATCTGAACCCGGGCCGCCAGCAGCAGAGCGCACCCAACCTCTAAGCCACGGGGCCGGCCCCCGAACTATCCACTTTAAGAGCCCTGTTGGCATTAACCACTTAGGTTATAACAAAAGAGTTGACATAAATCCCTAGAGGGCTAAACTTAGATGAGAATTCAGAACTGTTAAACATTCAATAGTTCTGAGGAACAAGAAATTCCCAATCTTGGTCTAAAAATCCTTGAAGAACTTCCATTCTTTTCCCCCACTATGGGAAATTTGGGGTAACAAATTACAGTGAACATCCAGTATCAGCAGTTGCTACTTAAGTCCCAGGGCCTTCACACTGATTCCCATCCTTCTAGGAGGCAGTGAGGGCCACTTAACCAAATACCTCAGTGTAGGCTTACCTCGGTCAAAAGAAAGATCACACAGTCCAAGGGATGGGATATTCCCAACTACCCTTATATGATCAACATTCTCACCATCATCACAAATGTTATTTTTCATTGTGGTCAAAACCCAACAACAGGGTGAGTTCAGCAACTTAACCACTAGATTTTGAGTCCCATCAGGGAAGGGGACATGTTTTATTCATCCTATATTCCTACACCAAGTCCTATATTCCTACACCAACAGAGTGCCATCACATAGTTTGCAATCAATAAAAACATTTGCTGAAATAATATGTTACCATGTAAAACGTCCGAGTCATCTTCCACAAAATCGATGTCTCTCAAGTCCCATTCTGCGTAATTGTCAAACTCCTGTTTGGGGAAAAAAAATTCCCACCCCAATCCCATCAGCTTTGAGTAACGCCTTTATAGTAGCCACACTTTAGAAGCAAAAGGAAAATATACAAACACTTGTTAAAAAGTACTGAATGGGGTACAAGGCCAAGATACTGCCACAAATAATAAATCATGGGAGGGCCGGCCCCGTGGCTTGGCGGTTAAGTGCGCGCGCTCCGCTGCTGGCGGCCCGGGTTCGGATCC